CATCTGCATTAGTCTTTACAAAGTTTGAAGGATCTATTTGTTTTACATTTTGCTGCCTACTAGCTGATTGGGTTGTATTCTGGTTTATGTGGTCAGTTTCATAAGTTCATGGCTACAGTTACCATTTGTTCTCTTTTAGGGCATGCTTGGATTGGGAGAGATGTATTACTAGGGTAATAAAAGTCAAATTAAGCAAAATGAAAGTGAAAATAGGGAAGGAGGAGATAGTGATGGTGTGATTATAAGGAAAATTATGTAATGATGGTGTGGTATGAGGTGAAGAAAGAGGAACTAATACCCTCATTTTGGGGGTAATAGTTACACTAGGGGGAGGGTGAGTAACTATTACCCGGGTAATAATTCCTCCATCTCTCTCTTTTCTTCATGGCACAATTACTTTATTTCATTTGTAAACACCATGCCTCCTACAACAACACCTCTAATTAGTTATGTTTTTTCAAGTTTGACTTTTATTACCCCCAATTCAAATAAGTCCTTAATCTGATCAATATCTTTTATAATGTTATGCCCTTTCTTATGCAAAGGATTTTATTTATTTTATTTTTTTTTTTTTTTTTTTTTTTTGCTTTAAATGAATGTGGATGAAGGGCTAAGAAGTCAGGAAAGTAAAGCCAAACTGTGTTTGATAGTCTTTTTATCTTCTCATATAGTATTGTGAGCTGTCTTTCTTAGTTGACTGAGTTTTGTTTCCTTTTTTCATTAAGCCTTTTAGGTGTAACAAGATTCTTGATTTATTTGTCATAAAGTAATAAGCACACTTTTTTTTTTTAAATGTACTGAAAATCGATTGATTTGTTCTTGATTTCAGGCTGCCAACTACCTGAATATCAAGAGTTTGCTGGACTTGACTTGTCAAACTGTTGCTGACATGATCAAAGGAAAGACACCAGAAGAGATCAGGAAGACATTCAACATCAAGAATGACTTCACTCCGGAGGAAGAGGAAGAGGTTCGCAGGGAGAATCAGTGGGCCTTTGAATGATGCCATGGCATTGAGGAATACAAGCAAGCCCGTGCGAAGGATGTGTTTGGCTATTCTATGAATGAATATACTAATGAATTTATGCCTTTTGTAGTTGAAATTGAGATTCCTGACTTGGTCTCATCTTTTTTCTTCTGTCTTAGAATGTACTCTTCAGTGGTGAGACGAAGATGGATTGTAAATAATAGTAGTCTTATGGAGGGTTGCTGCTTGTGGGTGTCTGCTACTGATGGTAGCCCCATCTTCAGACAGTCACACCTTCCATCTTTTAATCATGTATGTGAATTGTGGGGTACTTTGCATTTATAACTTAAATTTTATGTTGCTTATTTCTTTGAGATTTAGCTACTATGAGAATATGAGTTGATTTTCTTGCTGCATTTTGAGTTTTGCCTTTAGGCTGAGAACTTGTTTGGTTCTACAGGAGATAAAGATATGGAATCAGACATAAGGAGGAACTACTGCAATACGAATAATATTAACTTGTGGTTTGTGTCCCATCAAATTTTTTTTCCTAATTAATGATTTCTTATTTCTCCTTTCGCATCATCATGGCATTCAACTTCGTCATTATCTACCCAAGAACTGAGAAAATCATCATTATCTGAGGTTAATAAGCCTTCAGATAACAGGAAACTTAGGAGATTTTCAAGGCCAAAGTTAGGAAAATGAAAAAAAAAAAGAATTGTTGTGTTTGAGCCTATTTTTTTGCTGAACATTTGAACAGCCTACACTCTAGATGTTTGCATGTATTTCGATGTACTCATATAGTCATATGTAAGCATATGTTTAATAGTTTATCAAATTGTTTCAAATTCAACTACCGTATTAGCTTTGATGCTATTAGAGCCTGAGGAAGCTTGAGGGCCAGCTTTCAGAAATTCTGAAGAGTGTGAAAAAGTTGCAACTTAAAATTGTTTCTGTTTCAATGAGCTTGCTGTTGTTAGATTTGTTAGTATGAACTATGAAGATTGAAGTGACAAGATGTTGCCTATATTGCCGTATGAATCCTTATAATTTGTCACTGCTAAAAATGTAGTTGCATTATTTCAGTGGCTGCTTGGTTAGATGCAAAAGTGACATGTAATGTCGTATATTCTAGCTTGCTCAGTAAATGCTCAAAACTATACTAATTCCAGGGGATCTTACTTTACATACGAAGTTTCACTGACCTTAGATTTGATTTAAATCTAAGGTGCAACCATAAGCAAAACGTTCATACGAACAAAGAGTCGGTGTAGCATCAAATGAGAATGCAAATTACAAGGCCCCAGTAGATATAAAATTATGTAATTACTCATTTTGAAAAACGAACATCACAATTTGTTATTTGGTAACAAAATGGGGAACTTTTCACTCAAGTTGTTACTAAAAATAATACAGTAAAACTTGAGATCTCAATGTGTGAAAGGGAGTTTCTGATCTAAAGAAGGCTCTCCCCATTCGCCTCCTGAGTTATTCCATCATCTTCCTGCTTACATAAAGCCAATGATCTACTGAATTCCTGGGGAATAAATACCATATACTCAACAATTCTTACCAAATGGTGTTTTAAGTTTGACCACAGACCATCAACAACACCATATACGGTATTTGGCAACTTGCCATTGATTTGCATCAGTTAAAACATCCTGTATGAGTGATATAACATGAGCCTGATACTAAGTTTGACATTCAGTCTTGCTCTCTTGGACATCAACAGCTTCTCCACCAATAACCAGTTTGGTTATCTCTAATGCATACTCTTTCCCATCTCCTAATCTAAAATTGTGAACAATTTCTATCAAGTCTACAAGACTACCACCATACACTTTCCCAGCCTCTCTTTTATACATCAGTTCCTTCACTTCATCAGCATCCTCCCACCTACCAGCAGCAGCATAAATATTCAAGAGTAGTGCATAGCACATTGTATTTTGTGGCTCTAGTTCAATCAATGTTTTTGCAACTTGTTCTGCAATAGACAAATCACCTTGAAATCGGCATGAACCAAACAAACTAGCCCACAACAATGACTCTGACGACACATCAACAACAAATTCATTTACTTTCTTAACAGTGTCTAGTGCTTCCTGCACCAGCCCCTTACTTGCCAGTAGATTTGCCATGCACCAATAATGCGCAAAATTGGGTTTTATGCCGAACAAATTCTCCATTTGATCAAAATAAAATCTTCCTTCTTCCAATAGCCCTGCTCGTGTACATGCGCATATAACACCGACGTAAGTGATTTCATCAGGAAGCACTCGATGTCTTCCACCTACATGCACATACCTATGACCTACAGCTTCAACATCTAGTTTCATCTTATATATCATATCTTCAAATAAATGAATTCCATCATTAGGATTTCCGTTAAGACAATGCCCTAATATCATTGAATTCCAACACACCAAATTCCTCTGGAGTAGGCCATCAAATATACTACGAGCCACCTCGACCTTTTTGCATTTACTATACATATCAATAAGAGCAGTGTTCATTATCAAGCTTAAATTCCATAGCCTTCTCACAAGGAAACCATGTACTGATGCTCCCTCTTTCCACCTAGCAGATCTCCCACAAGCTGCAAGCACATTAACCATAGTCGTATCATTCTCCAATAATCCACTTTCTCTCATCTGCCTATAAAGTATTAACACATACCCAGGATTGAGCCTTTCTAAGTACCCTGTCATCATAATGTTCCAAGACACTACATTTCTCTCAGGCATTGAATCGAACAAGTTGTGTGCAGTTCTCAAATTACCAACTTTCACAAACCCATCACAGATAGAGTTCCAGGACACCACATCTCTCTCAAGCATTAAATCAAACACTTTCAAGGCAACCTCAATTACCCCACAACAAGCATACATATTGATCAAAGAACTTTGTATATGCATCACACCATCAAACCCATTCTTAATAACTTGACCATGGCACATTTCACCTATTCTAGAACTACCCTCTTTAGCACAACAATTCAACAATGGCGGAAAAGTATAAGAATTAGGGAAAACCCCAGATTTCAGCATCTCAAAATAAATCCTTAAACCTTTCAATGGCAAAATACTACCTGAATAAGCTTTAATCGCATTGTTAAAATACACTATATCTGAAAAATCACCATCTTTCACAAACCCATCACTGCAGGACATTAAATCTCTCTCAGGCATTACATCAAACACCTTCAAGGCAACCTCATTAACCCCACAACAATCATACATATGAATCAATGAGCTCTGTATCTGCACCACACCATCAAACCCATTCTTAATAACTTGACTATGGCACATTTCACCTATTCTAGAACTACCCTCTTTAGCACAACAATTCAATAATGGCGGAAAAGTATAAGAATTAGGAAAAACCCCAGATTTCAGCATCTCAAAATAAAACCTTACACCTTCCAATGGCAAACAACTACCAGAATAAGCTTTAATCACATTGTTAACACAAACTATATTTGGAAAATCAATGCTGTGAAAAACCCACAAAGCATCACGCAAATCACCAAATTGGAATGAAAATTTGAGCAACTTACATCCAAAAAAAGGGATTTTCACGCGACCAGAAGTTATCAATATTGCATAAAGTTCTTTGATTTTGTTCTTCTTCAACCATTGAGAATTGAGGCAGGTCAAAATTTGATGAGAAAGAGGGAGATTAATAGTAGAAGATGAGTAATTACATCGAAATGCAGGAAGAAAGACACAAGAAATGTCTCGAATTAAAGCTCTTGCCATTCATCTGCAACTGGGTTTTGATGGGATTTCAAAATCAAATTGGGTTCCGCCATTAACGTTCATAACAACTTTCTCTCTCTTCCTCGGTTGTTTCTCTCTAAGACCATGGGAAATTGGAGGCGCAGAAGTTTACCCATTTGGTAGTCGTAAAACGACGTCGTTTTAGTCAGTAAAAGGGTTTTTACTCTGACAAAAAAAAAAAAGGGAGTGGGCAAACATAAGTAGGGTAGTGCTAGATTGTAAATTTAATGATTAGATGTAAGGTCTATATATAGCTTTTTCATATAAATATTTTGGAACAGAGCAAAACAGAGGAGAGAGAAAAAGAGAAATAAAATGGTAAAAGTGAGCAAATTTGTGATGAAAAATGTGGGAGAAGGAATCAGTAAAACTCTCTCTGAAATTCTGGTTTGCCCTTTAACCAAACAGTCCTTAAGGTAATAATTTTCCTCTCTTTTATTCTTCGTATTTCAGATTTGAGTTCCAATTTAAACAAAATGAATTGATTCAGGTTATAATTTATGAAATATTTGATTGGTTTTCTGTTTTTAATATATGGGCAGATTTTGTGAGAAGACAGGATCATTAATCAGTGATGAAATTGGGGTTTCTTTTCCGGTGAGATTTTAAATAATTATACTTCCTTTTGTTTGATGCATAATTTGCTGGAAATTTGGGGATTTTCTTGTGTTGAGCTAGAAATTTCTGATGTATATATTCAATTATTCAATGATTTGTTCAAAAGAAGAACCAAATTCTTAGTTTAGGTGTACTTGGTTGAAAATGAAAGCCTGAAACTTATGTGTTTTTTCACCTTCTTAGAGTATACCTAGTGATTGGGGCATGGGCATGGCATTAAGAGAGAAAAATATAATTGAATTGAAAAAAATTAGAGACAAAATATATGTGGTCAACCAAAAATATAGGGCAACCATTGGCGGTATTTGATGGGTGTAGTTGAGTGGTCGTGGGATTCGTTCATGGGTGGGGTTGAAGAGAGTGAATTCACTAGGAGCAATAACATGGTTATGGTCAACATTGGCTCTGCTCTTAGGATTCTCCATCAATAGAGTTACCTGAAGCAATAAGCATTGCACTAATGGTGTAATGCACATTGCCATCTCACTAGGATCACTTGATGTAATGTGTTGAATCAAGAGGGGGAAATGATGAAGATCATGGAATTTCCTAACACATCTAACTGAATGTCCAAAGTACGACATTTCCATCACCAAACTTTAAGGAATGACTTGTAATCAAATTGCTTACCAAATTGCTCCTTAAATTCATTGCTTTCGCCTTTCATATAATCATACGGACTATTTGTCATTTGTCAATAACTAGCACTCTAGCAGAAAACAGAATGAAGGTTCTTGATTACAAGGCATTCTTTAATGACCTGCGAATCCTGCGATTCATCTGATATATTGTTTCTTACTTCACAGTAGAGCACTAGAGTTGTTAGATTACTTACATAGAGGCACAGAGATAAATTACTCATATGTTATAGGCCATCATTGGCAAAACTCGGGGATTGTATTACTCCGTAGTAAATAGTTGAGTCCTGCAATATGGTAGCAAACTAGCAACTGTATTATAGCTATCTTGCATTGGTTCTGTAAAATTCTGACATTAAACTTTGCCTTTACTAATGGTATGTTTGGTAATCTAGCACTTTCCTTCAAAACTCAAATAACAACTTCACGATGGACATGCCAAATTAGGCCCAAACATGATGTTTTTGAGTCACATTCTTGCAAGTCTTAGTGTGACAGTGTCAACTGCAAGACATTGTTACAGCTTACAAGCTTGCATTACTTTACGCTTCTCAACCTTATACCAAAACTTAGTTGATTGCTTGCCATTGTTTTTGCTCCAAATAGAGAACTTTTCTGCCGTCTTCATCTTGCAGTATTAGGGGCTCACAAGATATGTCTTCTGCTTTGTGCTAGGATTGTTTTGCTGTCTAATGCCTCTAATCTATGATAGACTATATAAAGTTAATAATACAATCTTGTAATTGGTAGCTGAAAGATTCTTATAGCAACAACATGAATCAAGGGGGGGTTGATGATGATTATGTATTTATGTGTAATTTGATATGGAATGTCGTACTCCTTAGTGAATGTTCGAAGTAATGAATTTCCAATAGCAGTTGTTGCACATGCCTTCTTTTTTATATAAAGATACTGATGAGTGGTGACAAAATTAAAACTGTAAAAGTTTTGAAGCTTTATTCTGGAGGTCCATGGAACATCCCTACCAAATTGGCAAATTTCTCATCAAATTCGTTGCTTATATTTAGTGAATTGCCTTTGATACAATCACATTTGTCAATAAATTGTGCTCTACAGTAGTAGATATTTGAAATGAAGGTTCATGAGTTCTGGCTGCTCCTTAAGGACCTGCAATCCATCTTAAAAATAACAGATACCTATAGCTGTGTCCAGTAACTTTGACTGCAATATGGTACCAATTGAATTACATATTTTGCACAGTATCTTAACTAATGTATGTTTTAGGATATTGGGTGTCCAGTTACAGCTTTACAATGGATATCTCAATTCAGACTGAAAGACGTAACCAACTCCTGAAACCATGTTGAACAGTGAAAGGTGTTTACCATATTCATGATCACGAGGTTATTGGGCCATAATCTTGCTAGTCTTAGGGTCAGCTGCCAAGACATTGCTACAGCTTACTAGCTTGCATTACACATTTACACTGTGTGCCGTTATCAATTGCTTGTCATTGTTAATTATTCTGCTCTTGTTCTTGCTGTTTAGGGGTTCTCAAGATATGTTTTCTGCCATATATACTAGGGTTCTTTTGTTGTCTAATATCCCTCTGATCTTTATTTGTTACACTACAGATAGTTGATGGGATACCTTGGTTGGTTCCAAAGGACGGGAAGATCCTTGAAGAAGAAGGATTGTCCCATACAGATGGCCACAAGGAAATGAGAGATTGAGATTGATCTACACTATTCTATTCCAGAGTCAAGCATTTTGCATGTATGTTATATTTCTGTGTGGCGGGAGGTGGGACTTCTCTGTGAACCTGCCTAGAATAGCTATATACTCCGTTGGTACGAGCCACATATAACATTAGTTCCATTTCTAGGATTGGTGAACTATAATTTTTTTGTTCCGTATGATTCATACAGTTAATGTCCAGGATTGTCAAGTTCTTTAATCCATCTCCAATTGTATATCTATCTCATGAGAATTCAGCATTATATACAAATTGGTGCAGACCACGGATGCTGTGCATTATATACACACAGTCATAGACACTATCGATTTGTGAGCGATTGGAGCATAATGCAGGATGCTGAACTATACTTGTAGAGCAAAGGGATAGCATTTGCTGTTGTTTTAATAACCATTCTGATCATTCCATGTAAAATCTGAATCATGAAACTGATAATTGAACTGTACTTAGCAATTATGGGTTGGCATATTTAAAGGAAAAATCTTGAAGAGGATTTATACAAATATTACCTGGCAATGATATTACAACACGTGTATTTTTTACCTCTTCATTTTAACCTATTCATTTAATTTCTCCCAGATTTTTTTGTATGGTAAACTTGATCAACATTTTCACTTAAAGGGTCTTCTGCTTGTTTCATTCTTCAAGCACTTCAAAGCAGCAATTTGGTAAAATTTCTTAACCCCCTTTTTATATACGTTTCAATTTCATCTTCAATAAGCACAAAATTCATAAGCATAAGCATAACATGATGTTTTAAAGGATAAAAAATACAGCACACAAAAAGTTCCGATGCCGGGAATCGAACCCGGGTCTCCTGGGTGAAAGCCAGATATCCTAACCGCTGGACGACATCGGATTGATGTTCGTAGTTGCGCATTATATATATATTGATTGAATCCCGCATAATTTAAGAAATTTTAGGTAATGTTCAAATAATATGGTTTTGTGCTTGTGTAATGAATAGTGTAAATATAGATACTCATATTTAAACCCATGTTGAAACAACATTAATTATTACCTGATTATCTAAATTAAGTATTTTATTTTTATTAATTCTTCATACTATCTATACTGTTGTAATGTTGTTTACCCTTGTGAGTTGGTGTCCTACGTGATACACGTCTTTTTCTTTAGCTTGTAAACTATCACTAATTCAAGGCTCCTATCTAAGCTTTAATGAAATGTGCTCAAAAGTCAAAACACACTTTGTTAAAGTTAATTATATTGTTGATTGCCAAAGGGTTGTTGGGAAAGGCTATCCCACAACAAAACTAATAAAGTACAACTTAAATAAGTTTGTAAATAATTAACTAAATATCTTAGTGATTCAAAGACAAATAGACAAGGATTAAACTAAAGGGTAACTCTCTAAGTTTAGGTGCAACCGATTTTCACTAGACACTCCAACCATACATTCACTTACAAACCAAGCAAAATGACCTAAACAAGTTGCACTAACTTCTTTTATCCATTCATATAGTTAGTTGTTTCTCAAGAAACTAAGAATGTATCTTCCAACACTATTACTACCACTTCTTATTAATTAAGCCTTTCACTAGTAACGCAGATGATCATGCGGAACTTTATATGCTTGATCTTCAACTTCATAGGCCTAAAAAAGGTCAAGGAAGCAAAGAAGCTAATAAGTTTCACGAAAGAAGATGATTGTTGTGTGTGCTTGTCGAGCCTAACCAAGGAAGGAGAAGACGTTACAATTCTTCCGTGCCTACACCATTTCCATTCTACGTGCCTCAATAAGTGGTTCAAGGCACGTCGGAAAACATGTCCGATTTGCCGGTTTATTGTGGAAGATGAGAAGAAGGAAGAAGAGCATAGTGGGGAAATGATGATATGGTATTCTTCTTTTCATGTAACTGGATTGTCTGGCATTTTTTAAGATTTTTGTGTGAAGGGAAATGAATACTTATTCTTAGTCAAATGTATGTCTTTTGTGCACTCTTTAAATTTTGCCTTTAAGATGTGTATGTCAATTGAGTGAAGATATAACAACGGACAATTGTCAAGAAGTTTTGACTAATGTTTGACGACACAATTAAGTGCTTTTATTCCAAAATTACGTAGTAATAATACAAACTCTAAATTGTCGCTCTCTCTCCTTTTTTTTTTTTTTTTTTTTTTTTTTGAGATTTAATCTTTTGTCTAGTTTTTTAAAAATTACTACATCATCCCTCATAATCAGTCATAATTCATCAGAATGCTTTCTAAATGGATATTTGACTTCCCGTGATAGGGTATTTTCTTCAAAAAGAAAAAGTTTTTTGGTGGGTTATAAAAGAAATGTCATTTGCCTAGTTCATCAGTTCATGTTGCTCTAAAAATGCCAAAACATAAGGTTGTAGCTTGGTGACATTTATTTTTACAAAATACTTATATGAGATATGACATATTTCAGTATGGATAAGATTGGTATTGGTTCTATATTTATGCTCTAGACATCAGCTTGCCATGGAATATCCACATGTTTAAAGTATTTATTCACTTACCTTTTTTTTTTTTTAAATGTATTCCCTCTATCTCTATCTGTTTGCCCCATTGTAAATATTTTGGTCAAATTTTAAAGATTTTGACCATAAAATCCTGCTAATATCTTATAGTCTATGAAAAATTAAATAGACCAAACAATTTAGAACTAAGTGAGTAACATAGAGAAATTGGTTAAGTGCTTAATGAACATGTATGATCTAATGATCTATTATTGTCTTGAAAAATTGTCTACCCTACTCGAAAGTAATCTTGAAATTAAACTCCAGATTGAAAACTACTTCATAATTGTTTCTTATTACTTATTTTTAAAAAAGTAAAAATTCGTTGATGAAAATATGGTGTCGGTTATAAATTCATAATAAGAACTTGGCCCCAACGTTCTGAAAAGATCCAAAAACAAAAAGTTCCGATGCCGGGAATCGAACCCGGGTCTCCTGGGTGAAAGCCAGATATCCTAACCGCTGGACGACATCGGATGGCTGTTCAATTAATGCTGTATTTTTTTATATAACAAAAAACTTGGCACGTACCCATGAGTTGTAACTCCTGTAAGGCAAAACAATCGGGCCAACCAGAAAAGGGAAGCCCATTCATATAGGCCTATGAAAAAGCACACATTGGATAAAAGAGAATCTCAAGTTACATTTTTTGTTGCGTATTACTCCATAATATATAAGTGTTTTCCTCACGAAAAATATATCTTAATACAATAATACTCTCATCTTTCTTATCGTATCTAAGAAATAAAATTGTATTTTTACTTTAAGTCTGAATTGGGTTATGAGAAATTTTCTTCATCTCTTCCCTCAAAGCAGATCCGAAAAAAAAAAATGTACAAACACAAAGAGTACTTTGTCAATAAAAAAAATTTAAAAAAAAAAAATAATAAAATAAAAAAAAAAAAAAAACCACTTCACTATATAAACAATTGTGGGTAAGTTGAGGGCAAAAGAACCTACAAAGAAAAAATGCTACCTCCACCGGTCCACCACCTTTGCAAGTGATTTAGACACTCTTTTTTTTTTTTTTTTTCCAATTTTATTCTATAATTTTGGGTATTATATGGGGTAAATCTTGAAAATTCACCCTTTCGTGGGGGTACAGTACAACAACCTCTTGGGTCACATTGAGTACCACGAAGAAGACATCATTTTCTTACTTTGGAATTATTATATGACCATCACTAAATCTTCACTATCTCACACCCCCCTCTTCTTTAAGGAAATAAGATTTCAGCTATTTTTTACTTTCTTCGTCGTCTACCTTTTTCTACATGTGGTTCATATTCATTTTAACCCTTCTAATTAAAGTTATCACACGCACACATCACATATCTCAATCCATATTCGTCATTAGACCGAAAATTCTATTTTTAGTTATCAAATATGAAAGCAATAAAGTATCAGATATCAATAATAAACGGTTTTAAAAAATTGAATCTTTCAAAAAATTTAAGATTGTGATTTATTTTTTACAAAACAAGTTCAAATATATTCATAAGGGTACAAAATTATTTACATAAAGTTAAATATATTAATATACTCGTTAAGGTATAACGAAAATATATTTTGTTATTGTCGTCTATATATTCGTACTAATTCCTTTTCTTTGTCGTCTATATTTTCGTTAAAGGAGTAAGAAAAGGAATTAGTACTAATTAAGGATAATTACATTCATCCACATAATTAACAAGGAATAGAAGGGGGGAGAGATAAACTAGGGACCAATTAGTAAAAAGCACGTGTCCAAAAGCATATTTAGGAGCTTTGGTCCTCTCTCACTGTTAGTAGTACTACAAAATGACCCCACCAATACCAATATAGCAATACATAAACCAGCAAAAAACCAAATATTTTGGGTCTTCTGTTTTTTTTTTTTTTTTTTTTTTGTCAAAATAAAATATGCATCTTAAAATGGAGCTGTTGATGTTCGACGAAGACCGTGCTTTTTCGGAAGCTGAGCAGACGGAGCTTCAATTAACTGCACATTATTGTATGGGCCCCCAAAAACCCAAAAAAATAAAAACAAATTGCGTAAGATATGAAAGATTACCAAATTAATAAATGTTGCCCAATTCTTTAAAAAATGACTAGTCAAATATAGTAACATAAATATGAGGAGATTATATGAGACTTTTTCTATTAATAATAGTTTGACTTGAATGATCCGAGTTAGGATATGTACTATAAGCTTCTTTTTTCTTCTTTAGGTGAACTAAATTCGAGTACTCATACACAAGATTTGATTAGGAGCCTACCTATTTAGCCCTAGAACCAATTAATTCAAAGTAACATAACCATTTTTCAAAAAATATATTTGGCAAGTTCATTTGAAAATTTAAAAAAAAAAAAAAAAATAAATTATGCTAGAGTAGTTGACATTTTATTGTTGATATAAATGTCATTACTAAATTCCTAGATCTACCATTAATCTTAATATCTGCAATGATTTTTGCATGAACTTACAAGTAAAATTCATAGTTGGACTTCATTGTGACAGTGATAATCATCGTAAAACTAAGGGAATATAAACATAAACTTGCTTATAAAAATTAAATAAGGGTTGGAAATATTTTCTTCACCTGTCCTTGTTTCCTCAGTGCCGCGTTCTCTCTTTTGAAATTATCAATTTCCAACTCCAACTCTGTTATATACGCCTATATTAACGATTAAATCCTAGTTAGTAAGATGGTTAACAATTAATTAAGCCTCCTTAACAAAATCAATGGCACAGCTCATAATCAAAATACATGAGAATTTTTTTTCATTCGACTTCTCTGAGGATTAATATTTCCTACATTCGAATTTCTTTAAGTTTATAATAAAAACATGAAGGGTATATGTACTTTATATTATATACTTTTATATCATTTTGACAAAAAAATAAACTTATATAAATGAATTAAAAGTTTTATATCATCTTTAAAAATAAAATGTTTGATACTTTCTTTACTTCTTGCAAGGAGATGTATAATATACCTAAGGAATACTTCATATTTGCACACATAATGAATTTAACATGATAATGAATTTTTATAATGTAGCTCTGCATAAATTTGTATTTGAGAGGGCTTTGTTATTTTTTTTTATCGAGAATAAGAAATAACAATAAATTAAACTAGTAATAACACATATTAATAACAACAATAATAGAAAAATATGAATAAAAACCTGCTTTCGAGCCCTAGAACGAGCAGCAGATTCTCTGTTCTTAATCATCCGCTTATGCCTGCGTATACGATCAACTGAACCATCCTCGACATTACCAGTCACCTTCTTGTTATCGAAACCACCTCCGCAACTGCCATTGACAGCGGTTGCGAAGGTCAGAACAGAGGAAGAAGCAAGATTACCAAAAGAAGCAACACCAGCAATCATACTAGGAACAGAGGGATTCCCCTGTAATTGAAACTCGTTATCGAGGAATTGAAACTCAGTTGTGGTGGTTCGAGGAGGAAGAGGCGGCGAATTGACGGAGGAATTTCGAAGATTAGTGGGCCCATTACCACCATTGAGGAAATCCTGTAAGATGAAACCCTTGTAATGGGAAGTAGTGTTAGTTGTTGAATTGTGATGAATTGAGTGAATGTGAGAAATTGGGGTGTTTGGGATTGAATTAGTGGTGATATCTTTCCAAATTTCCTCCATTGTTTTCTGGGTTTGAGTTATTTTTGTTGTTGATTCAGAATTTTGATTGTTGGTTTTAAGATGAGATGAAGGGGATGAAGAAGATGATGAAGAAGGGGAAAATAATGTAGAGTCATTTGATGGTGGTGATGATGATGAAAACATTTGATTGGACAAGAGAGAGAAAGTATTTTAGAGAGAGAGAGAGAAAATGGTGAAGGAGTTGAGGAAAGGGGTGAAGTGAAGTGAAGTGAAGGGGGTGTGTATGTAAGTTCTGTATTGCAGGAGTGGAGCAGAAAAAAGTAGAGAGAGAAAGTGTCCTTAGAGAGAAAGTAATCGTGCGTGTACTGTGTTATTTTGTCATTATTATCTCTATTTTGTAACCGGTCACGTGACATGCACGTGTGATTTGGGGTATGGAGGTAGGGAAGAGGGGAATGGTCTTTAGGCCAATGCCCAATGGGTGTGTCACGTGCGTGTGAGTTTTTGTAACCATCTATTTGGGTTTCAACTATTTTTGGAAGGGAAATAGTATAAGAGGTAATTCTATGATCATCTCTTGTTAAAAAAAAAGTAATCCTATGATCATGTGGGTGTACTACTACTATTAATGGTAATTTTCAAACTATTTCCAAAATTATTTGAGGATGATGGTATACTCCGTACTTCTATGAATAATGGCATGTAAGAATGTGTTATATGGTGTAATTATGTATACTGTTCATTGTTCATTTACACGTCATATAGTGACAATACTTGATACTCCGTATGTAATATTGATACATATTGTTTTAGAAAAATTACCATACAAGAGTTAGCCATATAGATTTAAACATTTAAAAGCTACTAAGAGGGATAGAAGCAACTTACTTTTAAATCGAATACCTCTATAACTATCAAGGGCCTAAAGCTAAAACATCATAAAGTAAGTACTCGTATGAGTAAAGGCTAAAGCAATGTAACTTGAGAATGAGAAAACACATTGTATGAGTGTAATTTTATTCCAATGCTAAAAGATTGATTTATTGTATCTTTTGTACTCTTTATTTATACATAACATTAAAAAGAAATTACAAGATCTTATTAGCTACTTGTATATTTTTTTTTTCCTTAAATATTGACTTCAATTGTATGTTCTTAATTAATTTCAACGTAATTGTACCCAAAAAAAAAAAAAAGAAAAAAAAAAAAAAACTTTTTAAACTAAAGGAATCGGATGAATACATATTTCGTATTTCATTCTAATTTGATATTATGTAGATTCAAAATTTTAAATATGACTAACTCATAACAATTTTAATTAAAGAGTAGAATTAGTTAATTGAGATACTCCACACCGTCTAATTAAAAAAATAATATCTGCATTTTGTTGAAGTCATTCATCCATATACTCAACAAGCATAGTTTAATAAGATCATCATTAAAATAAATTGAATTTTTAGTGAAATTAATTTGATTTGATGAATTGTTTAGTGTTACTCAACAAACAAAAAAGAAACACAGTTGCGGAGTACTCAAGTATTTTGTATTGCTTCATTCATCGTCTTTTTTAATTTTTTTTCCTCTATCTTGTGCTCAAACGCTAACAATATGTAACCACAAATCCTACAGAAAACCAGTGAATATAAAACTTTTTTGACAAGAGAAAAATCCAACTCACAAAGTGACTTGAACTATCCATATTATAGCTCCAGTGACCAAGCAAGACCCAAATCCTCTGACCCATGCCCGAACCTGATGCGTACTCGATTTTATAGCTCCAGTGATAAAATACTGATACCTCAACTGCTTGTGTAAATCTTTTAACACTTTGATTTGGATATGAATACTTCATTCTGAGCCAAAATTGATAAGAAAAAAAAAAAAAGGCGATTGGATTACATGTATTTAGCATAAATCACGAGTAATCAAGTCTTAATTATATTCTAAGTAATATTCTAACATTAGGTGATATATATATATATATATATATATATATATATAGGATTAGGATCATGTAAAAACAAGTCTTAGGGTAAAAACTGAAAACAATTAATCCTAGCCGTAGATTATAATCTAGCGGATGACATCTAATGTATATAACCTAATTTTCTCTCTCCTCCCGCGAAAACACCTTCTCTCTCCTCTGTTATTTTCTTCCTCCTCTTCCTTCTCTCTTCACTTTCTCTCTCCTAATTTCTCGACATTTTTCCCCAATTTTCACGCTACTTTTTCAAACACCGCTTCAATTATTTTGATTTTTAGCAATTTCTCAGCTCTACGATCTATTATCAGGTGAGTTCTTTGTGGTAATTTCGCTATTTTTGCACGATTTGAGGTTATTAGGTTTCTGAAATTTTGTTTGCTGGAATTTCATGAGTATTTTTTTGTAGATTCAACCGGAAATTCAATGTCTATTGTGTTTTTCGTGTATGCTTTTTGTTTAATTTTGTAATTTTGCAAGTTTTTTTATTTATTTTTTCAATTTGATTTGATTTTTTGATTTTCAACTTAAGTTCGTTTTAGTAGGAGTATTTTTGCTCGAATTTCTACTTTTGTTGTTGTTCTTCACCTTCTTAGTAACACGATTTTTGTGTTTCTGATTTTAGTAAATTAAGTTTGGGTAATTTTAGTAACATGCATGTTTGATTATGACGAGATTTTGCGTGTTTCGTTCATCAATTTTGTTCGATTTCCAGTGCGATTTTGCGACTTTTGCTCATCAATTTTTTCGACTTTTTTTCATCAATTTTGTTCGATATTGTTTGATTTTGCGATTTCCTGTTCGACTTTGTTCAATTTTGTTCGATTTCCTGTTCAATTTTGTTCAATTTTATTCACTCATTTTTTGCTTTCAATTTTTTTGATTTGTGGGTTTTTGCAGGTGAAATGTGGGAATTGTGGAGAGGTGACAGAGAAGGAGAGTTATGTGATGTTGGGAGAAGTTGTTCCTATCCCTAAGAGTCGTGGCCAGGCTAATCTTGTTCAGAAGGTTTATCTCTATTACTCTCTAATAATCTGTTGTTCTATTCTGTTTTGATTGTGCTCGCTCTATTTCAGATTTAGTTGTCGCATTGATAGTGTAATTTGAATGAGTAATGTTACCATTATATTTGAATGGAGGTAGTATTTTGGCACTATTGATTGGTTTTGTCAGTGTTAATTTCTTTTTCTGGACTAATTTCTTGCCATTTAGTTTCATGAGGGTTTTAGCATTATATTGACTATTTCTTGGTTATTGTAGTGATTGTAGTTATGTGTTGATCAATGAATCATATGCTGCATTTATCTTACTGTAAATGTTACATGGTTATTGTAGTGATTGTAGTTATGTGTTGATCAATGAATCATATGTTGTATTTATCTTACTGAATGTTACAAAAATGTGTGTTATCTGTAAGATGATCAGTGTTTATGAAGTCTATTTCTAGCGTATCTTATAGTGAAGGAAAGTGTTTTAAAGTTTTTGAGAACTTGTGGGTTCTAGGAGCTTTGAACTTTCATCTTTTATGTTTAGTGATGATCTTTCGTCAATTTGCTAGAAGCGAGTTGAATACCCCTTAAGCTTCTTCATCCATTACAGGAGTATTGAACATGTATTAAGGATTATGAACACCAGGGTTGCAAACTGGAAATTTCTCCTCGTTGTTTTGATACCTGTCTGATTTATTGAACTGTTCAACATGATATAGCGTTTAAGTTTGGTATGAAATTTCTGCAATTATGTTATCTTAGGATTATTTGCTTAGGAATTAGGACTTGTTTAATATGTTTCTTCCGGATGTCAATTGATGGCCTTGTATTGGCACTTGGGGAATGGTTTATGATAGTGTATTGATGTTGTACTAGTACTTCTGCTCTGGCTCTTAGAATTCTTTTTTTTATCTATTGTTCAGTCATTTGCTGTACTGATTCCATCTTTTTCAATAATAGTGTGCCTGTTCAAGTGATATATGGCTTACGTTGTTGCTATATATGTATTGACTAAGCCTTGAATAATGTCCTGCAGCTTATAGAATGTGTTTGATGCTTTGATATGTATGAATCACGTGTTGCATTTCTGCATTTTTCTGGTTTACACTTAATTGACATTTGATGCCTGAATTATATTACAATGTATAAATTTTCTGTGAGCTGTTAACTTTGTTCCATTCCAACTATTGAAATTCTGTTGCTTTTTGTGTGTTATTGCCTTCTAAATTTTGGATTTTCTTACATTGGTAATGGTGATAGTTACATTGTGTTTTTGGCTTGTTGCTAATCAATCACCCTTTCATTATTTCAGTGCAAGTTCTGTGGTAGGGAGGGTACTATTACAATGTTACCAAAATCTGGCTGCTATCTAACAGGTGATGACTGACTGTGAAGCAGGAAAGTTTGTCCATTTGATGAGCTTTGACTGCCGGGTTTGGAGCCAGTGGACTACTCCTTTGGTGGTGACAAGGAGGAGCAGCAGAAATTATCTTATGATAAGGAGCAGCAGGAGAAGTTATCTGATGACAAGGAGGCCGGAGAAGGAGAAGTTATCTGATGATAGTTACCTTACTTTTGTAAATAGTGACATCTATATAAATGTGGTCAATGTTGTCAAAATTTATATAATTACCTTATTTTTATATATAGTGACCTTCGTTATTTTTATATATAGTGGCCTCTGTATAAATGTGGTCAAAATTGATATAGTTACCTTATTTTTGTATATAGTGACCTTTATGTAAATATGCTCAAAATTGATATAGTTACCCCATTTTTGTATATAGTGACCTCTAAGTAAATATTCTAAAAATTGATATAGTTACCTTATTTTTGTATATAGTGACCTTTATGTAAATATGATCAAAATTTATATAGCTATCCTATTTTTGTATATAGTTACGTTATTTTTATATATAGTGACTTTATGTAAATATCGTCAATTTAGATAAAGTTACCTTATTTTAGCATGTAGTGACCTTTAAAACGTTGCGTTTGTCAAAAAAAAAAAAAAAACCTTTAAAACAGTTGAATTGGTTATATGTAAGGTTGGAATGATCTTAGGGCTTTAGAACCGTCTGATCTTTTGTGCTAGTAATAAATGGCTAAGATTGCTTGTTTTTAGTTTTCACCATAAGCTCTGTTTTTAGCGGAACCTCCCCGTATATATATATATATATATATATATATATATATATATATATATATATATATATATATATATATATATATATATATATATATATATATATATATATATATATATATATATATATATATATATTGGACGTGATCCAAGCGGTTCAAGTGCCTGAAGAGCATATCTTCCGAAACAAATACGATTCTCCCGACAAGATATTCCCTTCATTCTTCCTCTATGTTGTTTACGGAATTTAGTTCTTTTGGGGTTATAGTTGATGGCTTTTTTGGAATTCCATCTCTACTACAAAACCGGACGTGAGAGTTTCTTCTCATCCAGCTCCTCGCGAATGAAAAAATAAAAATTTCATTTTAAATGAATATTTTATTTTTATATAATTAATATATATATCTTTCTTTTTTTTGTAAGGAGATAAATTTAATTGAATTATAATTTCTTATAGGTTAGCCAGCTCATATACACGCACACAAGCATGCTCGGCTGTATAAACTAGTCCTTAGTAGTACATGTATCTGTAGCAGAAATTTTAGAGAAAACTTTCAGAGAGAAAAACAAAGAGCTAAATAGAACGAGAGATTTTTGTATTGATTATGTAAGAGTGAAAATGAATGTATACATAATCCTGAGGTAATAAACAACTTATATAGTAAATACAAAGACTTCTAGAATCTACTATTCATAATAGAATTCTATTATGGAGCAATAACAACTTTTGCTGACGTGTAAAAAAGGCATAACAAAATTTTCTTCTAGAAGTTTAGCTGCTACAAGAAACGAGTTGAGGTGGCAGACTTGAGTAATCTTTAACACCCCCCCCTCAAGGTGGAGGTGGTTGATTTGCAAGATCAAATAACCCCAACTTGGACAAGAGCTCTTTGAACTGATAAGCTAGCAGCACTTTAGTAAACACATCGGCAAGCTGGGACTTTGTAGGCAAATATGTCAACTGGATCAAACCTTCAAGAACTTTCTCTCTTGTGAAGTGACAATCCATCTCAATATGCTTTGTTCTGTCATGAAAAACAGGGTTCTTAGCTATGTATAATGCAGATTGATTGTCACAGTGAAGTGTGATAGGACTTAAACGGTTAAACCTGTTACACCCATTTCTCCAATAAGCTGACAACCCAAACAATCTCAGAAGAGGTTGCTGCCATAGCCCTATATTCTGATTCACTGGAGGATTTAGAAACTGTACTTCGTTTCTTAGATTTCCAACATATAGGTGACTTGCCAAAAAGCAAAACATACCCAGTAATAGATCTTTTGGAGTCTAAGCATGCACCCCAATCTGAATCAAAAAAA